GGAGTCTGTCTGTTTTACCAGGCCGGCCGGCCGGCGGACAGGGGGCGCGCTGGCCGATAACGGCCGCCGGCTGCCTCTCGTCGATGCCGCATTGTTCGCATCAAACTGTGCTGTTTATCTGCTGTTTGGACGGGTACCGGGCGGATGGACGGTGCAGACGCAGCCCCCCCCCCCCCTCCACCCCCTGCACCCGTCCAGACTTCGTACACTCACCGACTTTTTTAGTCAGCGATGCTACCGTCCCTGCTCACTCTAAAATTCAAAGAATGCTTCTTAGTACAGAAGTTGTCTATATTTGGATTGTCCATCCTACGTTGAAAAGTCATTCAGCCAGTGTAGTTAGTCCAGAAGTGGCATTCCACGTCCAAGTGCATCATAACTCGGAGTGGCAGTCCGCAGTGCAAGGGCATCTCCGACTCTCCGGGCCGAGGGTTTGAAAAGAAAACAAACAAGGAAAAATGAGAAAAATATAACATTACCGCAACGCATGCCAACGCCGCCAGCAGCGGCACGGCAAACGCCGCGAAAAATGAAAAGGGGGCCCGCACAGTATGCCGCGGTGTCGGTCGGTAATGCAAACGCCTCGTAAAGCTAGGTATTTTATTACATTTAGCTAGGTATTTTATTCCATTTAGCGCTAACACCAGATAATGAACCCTCGCCCGTATTGGTGCTTTGCCAGCGTCTAACGTATGTACAGGCAGACATGTGCATGGATCCGATAAAATGGATCTGGGATGTGATCCCACGGATCCTGATCTCGGATCCGACGGTATCATAGATCCAGCTCTGTAATTTATCGAGAGATCCGTAGGGATCACAGATCCGAGTCTCATTTTTGCTTGAGATCCAGTGAGATCATAGATCCTCACTTATTTTTTGTCAACACATATATCCCAAAGAAGCACTTGTTTCAACTCACAAACGTTCTGTTTTAGTGATTTTATGTGATCACACGCCATAATCCTGATTTTGTGTCACTTATGGCATATAAACCCTTTAAAGGTAGTGTGCCAGCTTTCTTGGACCATATGGAGTTAATGACCCGGATAAGGAGAACCGGATTTTTAGAACTTATCCATACCTTCAAAACTCATGGAAACGTCTTAAATTATTCAAATTTTGGGTACCCCAGTGCGAAATTCGCCCCGACGGGTTGTCGGTCGTAGGGGAAGTTGGGGGAACGCCGAAGACTTTTTTCTGACGCCCGTAGCACGCAAGGTAGACAACATACGCTATTCTTGTTGGCGTCATTCGAGGCCAGTCTTTTGCCTTTCAAACATACCAGGCGCATTTGATGAATTCGCATACCGTTAAGCGCACAAACTAAAAATATCAAAGAAGTGACTTTTTCGGCGTTGCCCCGGACTGCGGGGAAAGCCGAAAATGGGAGAAATGATCTACGGGGAATGCCGACATTGATGTTTTGCCATTTTATCTCAAACTTTATCCAGAATTCATCAAAGCTGACACACGTTTCAAGAGCTTGAGGACGCGGTGCACACTGGAAGTTATAATTGTGTGAGATAATAAGAAAATGCCAGGTAAATCATTCCTTATAGGTAACAGGCCGTTGTGTCGGTTGAAAGTGTAATTTGTGTGACTAAAAATACGCGTTGCTATTCTACAGCAGTAAAGTCCACGTAGCGTGCTTTTAACACGTGCGTAATCGCACGTTTTCGGCATTACCCCAGCCAGCCATACTTTCATTTGCAGGCCCATAACTTTTCAACGTGCTGTATAAATTTCAAAATAGGCAGCACACTTATGCAAAGACATGCTAAAGATTACTTGACCGAATTGGCCAGACAAACGGTAGCATAATGAGTAAAAAATGCAGCTTCAAAGGCGCATGTAGTACAAGGGAAACGTACCTTGAAAACGCTCTTGGCGCCCTCACAGTCGAAGTATTCCGAATGACGACTCGTAACAACATGCGATAATTGTAGTCACTTAAGCTTCAGAGCATCACTGACAGGTGGCATCCATGTTTTACGGTTTTCGAAATATCTCGAATTTCGGCTTTGCCCCAACTCCGGCATTGCCCCAACTTCCCCTACCCCAACCACATTTCACACCACTATGAACAATAAATGCACACACTAAAATCGCTATTACCGATAGGCTCATCCAATCAAGTTTCGATAAACCCGTTCATCATCATCTCCTGCGGTTTCGAACACGTCTGTTAGATGGCTTCTGATGCTCGTCGAGGTCGGAATTTCCAAATACGCGTGGTGCGTCGGGCCGCGCGCTCTGACTTCGGCCAAGAAAAATGCGTCAGCTGATCATTGTCATTTCTGCGCCTTGATTTCTGCAACTTGCGTGTGGTGAAATGGGGTCATAACTTAAGAAACGGCTGTTTCATATCAATTATTTTACATAAAATCATATTTCAAACCATAAATTAATGTTCGACAGCCAATTTAAAGAACCAATACCAATACAGGCTTACAGTTTAAGTTCGACATTGTGTTGTCTACGATTAGACAGCTGATAAATCATTCCCGTACGTCGTAATTCTATAATGACCTTTGCTTATTGTCACATGTGCGCCGCATTCGCGATTGTTGCCGACGCCTGTTTGCAGGTCAGCCCACTACAGTTGTTATACTTATCGAAAAACCGATAAACTTTTAGGCAAAAAAGGCACTATTCCAGGCCCATTTTTGATTTTTTTGCGATATTAGGTAAAAACAGAAGCTTCTTATCCTAAGAAAAATAAAATGGGAAATCATTGGAAGGTGACACACTATCTTTAAAACATGGTTTAGAATGTGGTGCATGGTGGGATCCACTCAGATCATAGATCTATGTTCTTAATTTATCGTCAGATCATATGAGATCATAGATCCAAGATGTATTTTTCACGCCGGATCCGGTGGGATCATAGATCCCAACCTGTACTTTGCTTCGAGATCCACTGAGATCATAGATCCATCACTCGAATCCATGCACATGTCTGTGTACAGGTCTCGCGGGTTTTAGCGGTAGGTTTTGCACCTAGAAAATTTAGTGTACTTCATGCTATATCGTCGTCGTCTTAATTTTTTAAGTGTTGAAGATGCGATCTACTTGGTTCAGAAGCCGGCCATGATCGTGTAAAATGGCTTCATCGTAGATCGATTAGTTTCTGAATAGCCGGAAATGTAAAAGTGCAAAACCTACCGCTTAATCTCGCGAGAGCCGTACATACAGGGGAGGGGGTCCGTTGGCCCTTTCTTGCCGTTCGGCCCCTGATCGAGCAAGAGCTTCGCGTAAAAAAAAAAATGAGCGTGCTGTCAGTGTCGAGAGGAAGCCGGTGATACCCAGTTTTAAGGTCCTAGGTCATCGGTGGACAACTTGACCTCTCAGGTCAGGTCAATGACCCAAAAGTCGGGAAAATTGGGACCTGCTAGACCTTCGTAAAGTGAGGTTGTAATGTTTTCGGGGAGCTGATCACGAATTTCATGCTAGTTTTTTTTATCACGGATGATGTCTTAATCCATTTAGGTCGGGTCAGGTCAGGTCAACCAGCAGGCGTTCTGTCGGCTATCCATAGTAGTGGTCAACCACCACAGACAGCTTCGTAACATATTACGCTACAAAGGCACCGAAACTACTTCGTTAATATTCAAATGGGTGATAAAATCGAAATCAGCAAAAAAAAACTTCCCTTGAAACATGCAAAAGTAACAAAAGTGAACCAAGGTCATCAACGGTAAATGACCTTGACCCGACTTTCACGTGACCTTGACTCACCATAATGCATGGGACAAACATCATTTCACATGTTTGAACGTTTACAACCACAAAAAGGCTGGACACGAGTGGATAATGTTAGCCGACATACGCCGAATGGCGATTCCGGCCAAGCATGGTCTCGAGAAGTAGGCCTCAGGCTAAAGGTCGTTTTTTGGGTCAGGGACATGAACCTGTCAGGATAGGAGTAAAATTGATCAACCCGAGGGTCCTGAAAGTTTCGTCGCGATCGGCCGCTTTTTACGCGAGCTATTCGCGAAAAACATCCAGCAGTACTGAACTAAATGCAACGAAATGTTTAAGGGGAGAACTATTATATCTTGCACTTATCTTGCACTCCTCTGAGATGCAAAGATAAGCATCTTATCTTTTCATCCCTTTGAGATTCAAAAATGAAGTCTCGGCGGTTCGTAGCCAAAAAACAAGCGTTCAAGTGATGGTGCGTCCATAGCCGAACCATTTTTTGGTGTTTGCGATGAAACTTTGAATTTAAAATGAAACTAGTGTAAATATTTTTTGCATTGGTGAATATATTTGAATATAATTTAATGAATTATGAATTAACATTTTCATACAAAGATATAGGAGCATTTCTTGCTCACTCGTGGGCCGTGGAAGATTGAGTATATTTTCCTCGCGCGTTACAGAAAAAACGCCGCCCCTTCGTCGCTCGGTCGGTAACCTGCTTGGAAAAGAGATATCCTTATCTTCCACTTGGAGCCATGAAAATCATCTGTACCTCAAGCCTTTTTGATGTGAAGGTGGGACAGTCACTCGAGTTAAATGCTTGCCTGTAATGCGATTGAATCCGCTGTACTCGTAAGTCTGATGGGTTCCTTAGCATTACCTACATTTGACCCCCATGCGACTTTATCAGATCTGACTTCTCCCATGTGACCTGCCGTCTGACCTCCTATGTGACCTCCCGTCTGACCTCCCGTCTGACCTCCCATCTGACCCATCTTCTGACCTCCTATGTGACCTCCCGTCTGACCTCCCGTCTGACCTCCCGTCTGACCTCCCGTCTGACCTGCCATGTGACCTGCCGTCTGACCTCCCATGTGACCTCCCGTCTGACCTCCCGTCTGACCTCCCGTCTGACCTCCCGTCTGACCTCCCGTCTGACCTCCCGTCTGACCTGCCATGTGACCTGCCGTCTGACCTCCCATGTGACCTCCCGTCTGACCTCCCGTCTGACCTCCCATGTGACCACCCATGTGACCTCCCGTCTGACCTGCCGTCTCTGACGTGGCTGACACAGGGCCAGACGATCAAGTTTCCGTGGTCGAGCATCACGCAATGGGACGTGGACGAGCAGGCGGAGGCGTTCTGTTTCCAGTACAGCCGTCAGGACCACACAGCCCGCTGGGTCAAAGTGTTTACTCCGCACGTGAGTACGGTCGCGGCGTGCCGGCGCCCGGCTCCCAGCGGCCGGCAGCGGCGGCGGACGTCCACGGGCACGCCAGGGCAGTGGGCGCTCCCACACCAGCTAAAGGCCTGGCTGGGCTTGTTTGTCGGCCTGTTTCGGCATGAAAGGTCAAATTTTGAAGTTGTACAATTTCAACAGAAACAAGTGTGACAGATGCACGTCGGTCGCATGAATGCAACGGTGCCATTCGGTCTTCTGTACAATGCTTATAGGTTTGAAAAACAGTGTTTAAAATAAATATGTCATCTTTGTGGTATGACAGTTTGACGTTTGTGAAAAGCGATAATGTGAACACATTATATTGCACAAACCGGTTTCGATATCACTTCATCAGTGTGCAAATATATAAATGAAACACACAAAATACAAAACGGAGACGAAATAGGTACAGCAGAGCAAATTAATTTCAAATACTTTCATATGACCTCATGTGATTGAGATCCCAAGACGCTTCCGCACCAAAAGAACGGCTAAACTTTTTCCCAATCGTATGTCACCAGCTTTGGAATTTACACACAAACAGGATTCAATGAGGGACGATTCAATCGTTTTTCTATCGGACCTACTTAACCTATCTCGTATGACCTCAGTGCGATCCCAATCAGGTAAACTACCACACTTTTCGGCATGTTTCACCATTGCATTGTTAATATTGTGGTTCCTAAAATCTCTCTTGTGCTCCATTAACCTGTTCTCAAGCCCTCTCGACGTTTCACCAAAATAAGGCTGTGTACATCCCTTGCACGGTATTTTATACACTAAACTTGCTTCACTACGGTCACACTTTTTCTTTTTTGCTACAACCTGACCAATCTTCTCCCCAGCCTTTTCCACAATCTGAATATCAGAGCACTTCAACATCTTTGATAATGCTTCACAATTCTGTGACCTGGGTACAACAACTATAGCGTTCTTTGTCTTTCCGTTTGTTTCGTTTCCCGTCCTATTCTTGATCCTTTTTGCCTTATTAAACTTATAAATGCCCTGGGGTACCTCAAACCTCTAAAAACGTCAGTGATATGATCACATTCTTCCTTCAGATTTTCGGGACTACATATTCTCATCGCTCTGAGGAAGAATCCAATCACTACCCCCGATTTCGTTCTCCTGCTATGAGCTGAAAAGAAATGAATATAGTCCTCTTTGTTTGTGATTTTCCTATACACTTTGTATCTGATGCCGCTGGGCGTCCTCTCAATATGGACATCTAAGAAAGGTAAAGTATTGTTAGTTTCTTCTTCTAATGTAAACTGGATCCTCCTTTCCACCGCGTTCAGTTCAGCTAACTTTTCACTAAGATCAAGATTGTCTGGCACAACTAACAGGATGTCATCAACATACCTATACCAAACAACATCACCTCCCATGACGTTAAAATAATGGTCGGTCTCCATCATCTCCATGTAAAGACATGCCGCCACTGGGCTTAATGGGGACCCCATGGCCAGACCGTGTATCTGTTGAAATTCTTCCCCGTTGAAAGAGAAAACCTGAAAGTCTAAACAAAGTTGCACAAGCTGAATAAAGTGACTCTTAGTGACGGGGAAGTTTTCATCTGGGATGTTTTGAATAGCCTTCTTAATAGCAATGATCGCCTTTTCTACAGGGACACTGGTGAATAGCGCCTTAACGTCAAAACTAGCAAATTTCTTGCCACTCAAGTCTAGCTCACTTAGAAGACTTAGCAAATCACCGGAATTCTTTAAATGAGAATCACTAACCGTTCCAAGTAACTGAGTTAGCGGTCTAGCTAGCACCTTTGCCAGGCGATGCGGAGCGCTTCCGATACCCGATGTAATCGGTCGCATTGGGATTCCGGGCTTGTGTACTTTAGGCAGTCCTCTCATCCTCGGGGCCACTGGTGCTTCCTCGAGAAGATGTTGTAGCTGTTTTCCCTTTGCCGAGCTTCGGAGTATCTTGCGGGCCTTTTTGTTGAACTCGACACTTTGACATCTGATCGTTCCAGTCACTATTTTCTTATACGTTTCCGGATCGCTGAGCAGGTCTTGCATTTTAGCATCGTAATCTGACTTGTCCATAACAATGACTCCACCTCCTTTATCCGCAGAAGTGACCACAATGTTATCATCTTTGGACAACTTGACTAATGCCTGCTTGAATCTTCTAGGGATAGCACTGGGCTCATGATCCGCTAAAGCTTTACAGCTAGTGACGATCCCCTGGATGAACCCCTTCTGTATCTCAGAGTCCTTGAAGTTCTGGTTTTTAATGAGATGCTCAGACAGTGATCGATTGTCCGTGCCTGTATCAAATTTTAGTCCCAGAGACAAGGCCTGCTTCTCGTCGTTCGTTAGAGTTCGGGATGATAGATTTGTTATGATTTCGCTTCGTCCTGCTCCGGCCCAATCACTTTCAAGACATAGCTTGTTCAGCTTTCGATTTAGCCTCTCTTTTTGGTTGACGTTAAACTCTTTAAGTTCTTCGGCGTGTTTTCTAGATATATTACCGCCTTGGTATTCTTCACGTTTAAGTATTATCTCATCTCGAAGGTTGGAACATGCTTCTTCCAAGTAAGCACGGGCTGATCTCGTGAACGGTGAGTTCTTGCTTCTCAGATGCGGCGGCGCTGATTTAGGTAAGACTTAAAGAGTTTAACGTCAACCAAAAAGAGAGGCTAAATCGAAAGCTGAACAAGCTATGTCTTGAAAGTGATTGGGCCGGAGCAGGACGAAGCGAAATCATAACAAATCTATCATCCCGAACTCTAACGAACGACGAGAAGCAGGCCTTGTCTCTGGGACTAAAATTTGATACAGGCACGGACAATCGATCACTGTCTGAGCATCTCATTAAAAACCAGAACTTCAAGGACTCTGAGATACAGAAGGGGTTCATCCAGGGGATCGTCACTAGCTGTAAAGCTTTAGCGGATCATGAGCCCAGTGCTATCCCTAGAAGATTCAAGCAGGCATTAGTCAAGTTGTCCAAAGATGATAACATTGTGGTCACTTCTGCGGATAAAGGAGGTGGAGTCATTGTTATGGACAAGTCAGATTACGATGCTAAAATGCAAGACCTGCTCAGCGATCCGGAAACGTATAAGAAAATAGTGACTGGAACGATCAGATGTCAAAGTGTCGAGTTCAACAAAAAGGCCCGCAAGGTACTCCGAAGCTCGGCAAAGGGAAAACAGCTACAACATCTTCTCGAGGAAGCACCAGTGGCCCCGAGGATGAGAGGACTGCCTAAAGTACACAAGCCCGGAATCCCAATGCGACCGATTACATCGGGTATCGGAAGCGCTCCGCATCGCCTGGCAAAGGTGCTAGCTAGACCGCTAACTCAGTTACTTGGAACGGTTAGTGATTCTCATTTAAAGAATTCCGGTGATTTGCTAAGTCTTCTAAGTGAGCTAGACTTGAGTGGCAAGAAATTTGCTAGTTTTGACGTTAAGGCGCTATTCACCAGTGTCCCTGTAGAAAAGGCGATCATTGCTATTAAGAAGGCTATTCAAAACATCCCAGATGAAAACTTCCCCGTCACTAAGAGTCACTTTATTCAGCTTGTGCAACTTTGTTTAGACTTTCAGGTTTTCTCTTTCAACGGGGAAGAATTTCAACAGATACACGGTCTGGCCATGGGGTCCCCATTAAGCCCAGTGGCGGCATGTCTTTACATGGAGATGATGGAGACCGACCATTATTTTAACGTCATGGGAGGTGATGTTGTTTGGTATAGGTATGTTGATGACATCCTGTTAGTTGTGCCAGACAATCTTGATCTTAGTGAAAAGTTAGCTGAACTGAACGCGGTGGAAAGGAGGATCCAGTTTACATTAGAAGAAGAAACTAACAATACTTTACCTTTCTTAGATGTCCATATTGAGAGGACGCCCAGCGGCATCAGATACAAAGTGTATAGGAAAATCACAAACATAGAGGACTATATTCATTTCTTTTCAGCTCATAGCAGGAGAACGAAATCGGGGGTAGTGATTGGATTCTTCCTCAGAGCGATGAGAATATGTAGTCCCGAAAATCTGAAGGAAGAATGTGATCATATCACTGACGTTTTTAGAGGTTTGAGGTACCCCAGGGCATTTATAATTGAATGCTTTAATAAGGCAAAAAGGATCAAGAATAGGACGGGAAACGAAACAAACGGAAAGACAAAGAACGCTATAGTTGTTGTACCCAGGTCACAGAATTGTGAAGCATTATCAAAGATGTTGAAGTGCTCTGATATTCAGATTGTGGAAAAGGCTGGGGAGAAGATTGGTCAGGTTGTAGCAAAAAGAAAAAGTGTGACCGTAGTGAAGCAAGTTTAGTGTATAAAATACCGTGCAAGGGATGTACACAGCCTTATTTTGGTGAAACGTCGAGAGGGCTTGAGAACAGGTTAATGGAGCACAAGAGAGATTTTAGGAACCACAATATTAACAATGCAATGGTGAAACATGCCGAAAAGTGTGGTAGTTTACCTGATTGGGATCGCACTGAGGTCATACGAGATAGGTTAAGTAGGTCCGATAGAAAAACGATTGAATCGTCCCTCATTGAATCCTGTTTGTGTGTAAATTCCAAAGCTGGTGACATACGATTGGGAAAAAGTTTAGCCGTTCTTTTGGTGCGGAAGCGTCTTGGGATCTCAATCACATGAGGTCATATGAAAGTATTTGAAATTAATTTGCTCTGCTGTACCTATTTCGTCTCCGTTTTGTATTTTGTGTGTTTCATTTATATATTTGCACACTGATGAAGTGATATCGAAACCGGTTTGTGCAATATATATGTGTTCACATTATCGCTTTTCATATGTCATCTTTGTCCACAAGGTAGAGAGGTGAAATTTTCGATCTGGGGGTCAAATTTTGAGATATCTCACTGGAATCTGGTGCAGTGGTTGAACTCTCATATTTTTTTCATCTATATTCCGTTTCTACATTTTTGAAAACCAAAATTTTAAGGCACATGCAATTATTTAAAAAAAAAAAATGGATA